TCTCCAGGCAGGGGGATCTGTGCATGCAAAGGTCCTGAGGTGGGAGTGAGCTTGGAGTGCTCTGGAAACAGCCTGCAGGCCAGTGGGCCAGAGTGCAGGGAGTGAGGGGAAGGGGTCAGAAAGGCAGGCAGGAACACATGCTCACGTGCTATGGCAAGGACTGGCTAAATTCAGAGGGAGAGGGGATATGTTCAGAGAACTGTGAACAGGGAATGGTCGAATCTGATGCAGCATTCAAAGGCCCGCTGTTGCCGTGTGGAGAATAGTGTGTAGAGAGTAAGGGTGGTCACGGGGAGGCCAGTTTGGAGGCTCTTGCACGATTCCAGGTGAGAGAAACAGGAGCCTGGACTCTGGTGGAGAACAGTGGGAATAGTGACAGGTGGGCAGACCCTGAAGGTAGAGCCCAGAACTTGTCAGAGAACACGAATTGGATGTGGCAAGGGGGACAATGAGAGGAATCAAAGGTACCCAGGAACCCTTGGAGGAGGGGCAGTTTTGGGGAGAGAATCAAGGATTCTGTTTCAGATGTGTTAAATTTCTGATGCCTCATTAGACACTCAGGTGGGGCTCTGGTGGGCAGATAGATATACAAATGCGGAATTGGGAGAACACAGGGCAGTGTTTGGAGAAGCTTTATTTATCCTTCCCGTTGACATCCTATCAGTGATGGGTGAGGAACTAAAGAAAAATGAAGCGGATGGAAACTTTATGAACACTGGTGGTCTTTCCTTCAATGTCCAAAACGTAGTTACTTGAAAACTTCAGAGCGAGATGCCTAAGGTTGACCAATTCCCTGTATTTGATCAGGAAATCACGTTATGGGAAGAAACAACATGGATGACACGAAAACCCTCCGAGGAGCATTCCCTGTGTGGCACAATCCATCACGCCAAGGCAATTCAAACCACACGTCGATGCCGTTAGCTTCAGCAACCTTCCAAAGAGCAAAAAGCACGAACCTGCAAGAGGAGAACACGCAGGTGGTTGCGTTTTATCTCTTGTCCCCAAAGTCCTTGAGCACTGTGGATTCCGTCCTGCTGCCCCTGATGCCATCCTCCCTGCCAACTGACTTGGGAGCCTGGAAGTGCAGCAGCAGCACTGGGAGCAGGTGATGACAGTGTTGCCTGTGACTGTAGAATGTGGGGTCCCTGCCCTGGTGCTTGGTAACCTCTGACCTTCTGTCCATCCGTGCTATGCAGCGTCAGCAGCACTAACATGAAACCAAAGGCCATGTTGGTCCCCTGGGCTCTGCCTCTTCTATTGTCAGACACATTTGTACTTTAGCCCTCGGGCTGGTTCTCTGTAAGATGGTTTAATCTGGATTTCAAAATAAACACCAAACATACATGTTCTAGGAGATCAAATAAAAAATGCTCGCTTAACCCAGCTGAATTCCTTCCCCATTTTCCCAAAGGGAGAGTGCACAAAGAAGGGGCATGACAGCATTAATGACTCTCCAGATGATCTCCGGTACTTTTTCTGTGGAAGGATTAAAGGTCCCCCTGTAGTTTTGCATTCAAATTAACTAATGAGGTTGAGAGCCTCCTGTCTCAGTTTCCGGTCTTTGGTCATAATTGCTGTTGCAGACTTATTAATCATTTCCTGCAGTCTTTCCTTCTTTGGTTATGACAAATGTTAATGCCTTTAATTTCTCATTCCTCCATTGGGCTTGGGATTCTGTTAAGTAAGGTTTTCTTTTTCTCTCTTCTGCCTTTCTCAGTAATGAACAGTTTTCATTTTCTGGAGCAGATTGTTCTAGGTTAGTTTTTAATTTAGACCTTCACTTTTGTTTTTCTTTGACTATTCTAAAAAGAGTGGGAAGCCTACCACAACTGGAGCCGCATCCAAGAATTTGAAGCTTGTCATGGCCTCTTCTTCATTATTTCCTTTGAGAGTCCCTAACTGGCTTCCAGGGGTGGGTGAGTTCCCTGAGATTATATGCAACATTTTGTGTGTTTAGGAGCATGTGCTTCCCCCCGCCCCCTGGAAAAAGATGTCATAACTTTTATCAGGTTTTCAAATATACAGAGGGCACCAAAAAAATGTATACATATTTTAAGAAAGGAAAACTGTATTAAAATTGTAATACTCAATATATACCGATAACAAAAGATGAATACAAGTCACATTTGACTTCTGCAATTACAANTATATATATATATATATATATATATATATAGTTTCAGGTATACAAAACAATATAATGATTAGACATTTACACCCCTCACAAAGTGATAATTCCCCCTCCCAAGTCTACTACGCATCTGACATCGTACACAGTTATTACAATACCATTGACTATATTCCCTATGCTGTACTTTAAAATACAATACAATATAATATGTACATTTATAGTTGACATTCAATATTGTTCAGCTTCAGGCATCTAGTGCAGTGGTCAGGTATCTACAATCTATGAAGTAATCCGCCTGATAAGTCCAGTACCTACCTGGCACCTTACATGATCTCTACAACATTATTGATTATAGTCCCCATAATATATGAAATGGCAAGATTGTAAATGGACTGCTCCAGAATAGGGAGAAGGACTCAGAGGGTGGAGAATTAAGGACAATTGTAAAGAAGGCTGGATTAAGGTAAAAGTAATAAGCCAGTCTAACTCTCTTCTCTCTGTTTCAGTTCCCCTATCCCACCCACAGTTCCCTTTTGTTTTCATTGGTCAGGGCCTTGCCTACCCAGGGTCTTATTATGTCTCTCAGGAATGTATGCAGTTTATTAGGGGACCCTGGAGATGGGAAAATACCTTGTTCCTCCCCCAGGAATCTCAATTGGTGGAATTTCCTGATTTTGGTGGAAAAAGAATTTAGAGTAAAGGTCTTTCCTAAGTGGCCCTTCGATTATATTACTTCGGGGACTGCCTGCTATTTCTACTCTTGAAGCTGTCCTGATTGATGAAGGAAAAGATTTAAAAGAAAAAATTATGAACTGTGGGATGTAAAAATGACTTTAAAAATTGAATAAAATCCTCACTATGGAGTCCCCAGGTGGAGTCCTGTCTCTGAGTCTCAGATTTTGATTCCTCTCTTTTTTTGTATTTTGTACCTAAAAAAAAAAAAAAATCAACAGCCCAACATAATTTAGAGAAAGGCCAATATTGGAAGTTCTACTGCTCAGTGGACCCAGTGCTCCCCGGACCTGAGTTATTTCACTACTTGGTCTTGATTTCTCCATGTATTGTGGGTCATGCTACCCACTGCCTCCTTGCTCAAAATGCTGTTAGGGAATTCAAACTAAAAAACAATAGTCAGGTTCCCAATGAGTATTAGGTTTCTAGTGCCAATGTACTTCCTACTAGAAGTGGGAAATACAGTGTTAAGTTCCCCCTTTTAACTTTTAACTTTTGAGATTGGAAGGGATATTCATTTTGCTCATTAAATTGTTATAATTTTCTTTTTTAATAATAGGTCTGGAATAGGTAGAAATTCTCTGAAACTGTGGAAAGAATGGCTTCTCATTTCACTATAATTTTTTTAATTACAGCTAACAGTAGCTCCTTTAGTTGGCATCATTTGGGAGAACTAAAACTTATCTCTGAATGTCGTTGTTGTAATGGTTCATGTTGTGATAGAATCTCTTTAAAATCCATTAAATATCCCTTTTTCTTCCTAAACATGACCCACAGGATACAGCTTAAACATTTTATTTCGCAGGGTCATCATAATATGCCTGTTGTACTGAGGAGAAACTCAGTGATGTCATCCGTGAGCCACTGTGTTGGTCTTTTTGCCCTTGTGGCTAAATGATCATGTTTTTTGGAATCTTGTGTCTACTTGGTGTCATTGGCTGTTTTTGTCAATCTGTCTGCTTTGAGCGCTCTTTCACTTGCTGTGGGCTGGGAGAGCAGACACCACACTTGTTAGAATATGGCTACAGCTAGATAAAATTGGCTTCTGAACGACAGCTGTCAGGAGGTCTTTGGTGAATAGGGGTACAGTGGACAGTAGTGAATGCCATCCCAGTTTGCATTACTGCCTTTCCAAAAGTCCCTGATTTCTATTTGGGCATCCACATGTTTCTGACCTGGGATTACAAGGTTGGAGCACTTGACTTAGCTAATCCAATCAGCACGTTGCTTTCCTCTAGGCATGTGATTGGTCCAACGGTGAGCAGTGGCCCCAAGCAGGTCCAATCAGAGTGCTCTCAGCATTTCTAGCTCATGATGCTCTTTGTCTGGACATGAAGACAAAGCATATAGCCTGGGCCTATCAGCAGTCATCTTGCCACCACTAGTGAGTCAGCCTTAGGATGAGGCTGGTATCAAACAAGGCAGAATGGAGAGAAGGAACAAAACAGTACTTTGGTGACACCTTCCAACCACTGGATCAGCCATTGCTTAAAGATCCCCCTACCACTGGGTTATTTTTATGAGACTTTATATGATAAATGTCCTTATTTTTTATAAGCCAGTTTGAGTTAGCTATTCTACTACTTACATCAAAGGAAGTCCTAACCAACTTACGATGTGAAAGAATTTAGAACTTAGGGCTGGTATAAATCTATTTTGGTACCTCAGAAGATATTGTTGGCATACTTCCTGGTAATATATGGGTATCCACTTATTTTTAAATTGTACATATGCATTTTATGCATTTTGTATGTATGATATTTTATTATAAAAAAGAAAATAGTTAATACCATTATACACCCATCTAGGCAGACTACCCAATAACATTCACTCAAAAGTATTTATTGAATGTCTGTTATATGCNGGTCTTGTAGGGGAGGAAAAATAATGTTCCCTCTACCCGTCTGAGTTCTTGGCTCAGACTCTGTAATAAAACAAAGATTAAGACGAGAAAAACAACCAGAAGTTTATTAACATGTAGACCCCACGTGTACATGGGAGACACCTAGGGAAAGATGAGGGGCTCCCTGACTGGGGTGGCTTAGAATTCAGGCCTGAATGCCATCCTAATAGGAAAAGGGGAGGGGAACACAGGCATCTTAGGGGGCAGGAAATGATTTTCAGGAAGGATGAGGGCCCTTAGAAGAACAGATGGGACAGTTTGTCACAAAGTCTGGGTGTGGTGTCAACTTCTAGTCTCCTCTCCTGTGACAAGAGTCAGTTTTCCCTGGTTGATGAAACTCCAGCAGGGGATTTATGACAATTGAGCCTCTTTTGGAGGCCCTGTCTGTGGGCAGATAAGGGGAAGTTCAGGGAAAGCTTCTCCCTGAATTTGCTGTTTTTCAAGTGCCTATGGCTCAAAATAATCAGCACACCGAAGTGGCATGTTTTGGGGTGGCACGTCCTGAACTCCTATTCATATTTTGAGTGGCCTCTTCTGGTACCCTTCACTCTCCCATCTCCAGGACTTGTGCTGGCCTGTATGGGTGGGAGCACTGGGTGTTACAGAGCGGACTGCCTCCGTGCAGAGTCCCTGGCGCTTGACTGTCCTTCCTTGGAGCAGACGCAGCTCTGTACCAGGACGTGAGACTCGGCGAAAGGAGCAGGCTGGATCTCTCTTACACACACACAGCATGGATTGCACAGCCCCGGCCTTGCCTGCTTCCCAGCCCGTTCCCTACCTCCCTCTGCGGCCTCTCCTACATGCCCTTCCTAGTTCTAGGTTGCCCCCATCTTCCTTGTGGGAAAGGAACTCCATTCTTCCCTGAGGATAACACTTGCTCTACAACCCTCTCTTTCGCACCTTGGGGTCCAGGAGATGAGAACTGAGCTGTGTTCTCCCATCTTCTTCACTATCACTTTCAGAGCATTACTTATTATTTTTTTTCTTTAGTACTTTTCTTTGTCACACCTAGTCTGGGTATGTGATAGATCAAGCACAGGATGTCTCAAGATACAGAATGGTTCATTCAGGAATTGTAAATATAACCTTTATCTGTGTCTGCTGCAAACACATCAACTCAGTAAACATGCTTTGCAAACCTCCTGCAGAATGGCTTTTCCACCCGTGTGTATAACCTCACGCTCTTCTGAGGTGTCTTCCATCTCGTCATGTTACTCTTTCCTCCTCTTTCTCCTCCTGCCCACCTGCCTAGNTTACCATCAGCGTCCAGACGCTTCTGATTATGGCGAACTACTGCTTGAGCGACGTTGACCAAAGTGTCCACAATACGTTTTTTTGGCACCCCCGGTATATTTACTAAAATAAATTGAAAACCATTTGGAAACCCTGCTTAACCATTCGGGTGACTATTGCTTTGGGCAAATCTGGTGACTAATTCTTACCATTACATGGGAGCAAACATAATCGTATTTTCTAGAGGCTGTAGGAAAAAGGCTACCTCCTTCTCCCTTAGGACCACAGAACATTTAAGTAAAAAACAATTTCTCTTCCTCATTCTACAGATGTGGGAACAAATTTTTCAAAATGGTAGGTGATCTCACAGCTAGGTAGTTGCAGAGCTGGGACTAGAACCTAAATTTTTTTTGTTCTTCATTCAGTATTGTGTTTATTATGCACATTCTACCACCAGCAAGATGGTATGCTACACTCCATAAATTCAGCATCCCAAATTCTTGTCTCTTTGTTAGAGTACACCGGTTTATTCTCTCCAACTGAAGTAATTTCATTCCAAGTACCTAAGTAATCTTTAGTAATTGAAAAGAAACCTTTCAAATCATCTAAAGAGTCTATATGTCATAAACTTAAATCATTTCTTGTCCTTCCCATCCTACAAAGAACATTCTTGTGCTTATCATAGACTCTTACTTATGTCTTCCATGCTCCTCATTTTCCCTAGGATTGTAGGGGCCTTGAAGATAAAGGACCTTCTCTTGAATGCATTTCTATCTGAGAATCTAGCACAGAGGCCTTTTAAGAAGGCAGATATTTGTGCAGTGATTAGCACTATTTACACATTCTGTTAAACTTAGGACATTATCTAGGTGTCACCCCTGTGGACCATAATTCATAAGCTCAAATGCCTTCAAGGGTCAGCAGCTAATTTAAATCAATGAAGCAAAACAAGTATAAGACCATAGGGGCAGTGGAAATAGCAGAAAACTGGGAGATGCATGCCCTATCACATTTAACATTTCAAAAAAGCACTTCAGAGGCCAAACTT